CTCCCTTGTTAGACAAAATAAAAAACTCATACTCATGTCTTGTCAAAATGCTGTCGATCTGTCAAATCTGGACAGGACGGCCTTTCAGGCCTTTTTTATTCAACCAACTGGCCAAGCTTATGAACTGTTGAAATTCAGACCTGAGGTCGAATTCCAGTGGAATCAGATCTCATGAGTGATAACGACTCTTGAATTACCTGCGGCCGGTTGGTTCAAACATCATATCTCTAGGCCGTCACCCTTTATAATATATTAAAAAAAAGAAAAAAAGACATGCTGTCGATCATGTGATTTGATTATGACTACCATGTTCCTTAGATCAGATCTAGAAAAAAATTGAGCAGTGTTTGAACGAGGGCTGTGTTATTCCAAGAGACACCTACTGTCTTCAGTTTAGCATATAGGCAATCAGCGATTAAAGCCAGAACTAAAAGGACGACATCAATGGTTGTGGTCCGTCTAGCCGTATGTTTAACCCCTTTTGTTATCGCCTTCTTCTTCTTCTTCTTCTTCTTGTTCTTCCTCTTCTTCTTCTTCTTCTTCCTCTTCTTCTTCTTCTTCTTCTTCTTGCCTGTGTTGGGTGTGTGTGTGACTGGGTACACCGGGTCGCGGTACCCGTGCTGGGGTGGGGTGGGGTTAAGTGTTCATCTTGGGGCTTAACTTTCACCCCAGTACCCGTGCTGGGGTGGGGTGGGGTTAAGTGTTCATCTTGGGGCTTAACTTTCACCCCAGTCCACTTAGCCGTTTGGTTATGAGTGTTTGCCTCCTGACCGGGAGGGCGTGTGTTCGATTCTTGGGATCGGCACGTGAAGCGTAAGGATTCAATTCAATTCAATTCTTCTTCTTCTGTTCTTTTGAAGCGTGTACCCAAGGCAGTTGGCCCCTGTTTTCACTCTTCTCCTTCTTCTTCTTCTTCGTTCTTCGTTCTTCTTCTCCTTCTTCTTCTTCTTTCTCCTTCTTCTTCTTCTTCTTTTTCCGTCCCCTTGTATGTCCCTTTTTTTTCCTGAACGAGAAGGAACAAGCTGGGTTGACCTAGCATCCATCTTCTTGTGTTTGTTTATTTTATTTTTACTAGTAATTCTATTTTGGGGTCTCTCTGAGGGTTTTCTGGCAGGGCCATATCTACCGGTAACAGAGGGGTAGTTGTGGGCACTTCCCTCCTATCGTCTTCCCCCGAATAGAACGTACGGTCATTACGCCCTTGTCTTCAGGGCAACTGTCAGTCTAAAGACAGCAATAATGACCGTACGTTCTATTTGGGGGAAGGCGGTAGCCAGACGAACGAACCTGCGGAACCTTGCATCCAGTTTTATAAAAATAGAACTCCAAAAAAGAAAAAAAAAAAGAAAAAAAAAATAGAACTCGAAAAGAGAGAAGCAAAGAAGAGCGAAAATCAATGAGGATGAGCTTTCCCTTTTTTCGTTTTCTTTCTCTCTCTCTCTCATTTGCTCTCTCTCTCTCTCTCATTTGCTCTCTCTCTCTCTCTCATTTGCTCTCTCTCTCTCTCAT